AAAAAAAAACTCCTGAGCTCAAGCAATCCACCAGCCTCAGCCTCCCAAAGAGCTGGGATTATAGGCATGAGCCACTGTGACTGGCCTGAACATTCTTATACAAGTTTTTGTGTGAACGTATGTCTTCGTTTCTCTTGGGAATATGCCTAGGAGTACAACTGCTGGGTCATATGGTAATTCTTACGTTTAACTTTCTGAAAATCTGCCATACTGCTTTCTGTAGTGACTGTATCACTGTACCTTCCCACAAGCAAAGTCTAAGGTGGGACATATGAGCAGTGTATTTTTCCACACATTGGGAAAAACACATGGGGTTTTGCCAACACCCATTATTGCCCATCTCTTTGATTTACAGTCACACTTTAATGGCTATGAAGTGGTATATCCTCATGGTTTAGGTTTGTATTTTCCTAACAGCTAATGATACTGAGCATCTTTTAATATGCTTATTGGCTATCTGCATATCTTCTTTGGAGAATTATCTATCCAGATCCTTAATCCATTATTTATTTATTTATTTTTTGAGACAGAGTTTCACTATGTCGCTCTTGGTAGAGTGCTATGGCGTCACAGCTCACAGCAACCTCAAACTCTTGGGCTTAAGCGATTCTCTTGCCTCAGCCTCCCAAGTACCTGGGGCTATAGGCACCTGCCACAATGCATGGCTATTTTTTGGTTGTAGGTGTCATTGTTGTTTGGCAGGCCCAGGCTGGATTCGAATCTGCCAACTCTGGTGTATGTGGCTGGCACCTACCCACTGAGCTAGAGGCACCAAGCCCCTTAATCCATTTTTAAATGGAATTGTTTCTTTGTTGAGTTGTAAGAGTTCTGTAATAGTCTAGATCCTAGACCTTTAGCAGATATAAGATTTGAAAATATGTTTTCCTGTTCTGTGGGAGGAACTTTAAAAAACTATTGATTCCTCAAACCTAAATAAGATCTATGGAATTAGCACTTATGTAGAAAAGTTTTTCAGGTGATTCTGATGACCTACCATTTGGGAATCAATGATCTACTACTGTGTTTTTCAGACTTTAACGTGCCTACAAATCATCTGGGAATTTTGATGATAAAAAATCTGAAGAAAACAGAAAATCAGCATTAGAACGTCCACAGTAATAACTGTTGCAAATATGATGAATGGATGAATGCCAAAATTAGTCGGCAAAAGTTAAAGGAGAAAAAGTGTATTTGCAGATCATCAAATTACTTCTTAGATGTTCGTTAGTTACAAAAAATGAAGATAGTAACTTCACAGTTGAGAAACTTGGCTGATACTACCCTAATCAAGTGATCAAGATTAATATTACAAATCATAAGTCATATCAACACCATATGCTCTCTGATATAACATGCCTAGAAAAATACATCACCTTGGCCAGGCATGGTGGCTCATGCCTGTAATCCTAGCACTTTGGGAGGCAAAGGTAGGTGGATTGCCTGAGCTCAGGAGTTCAAGACCAGCCTGAGCAAGAGCGAGACCCAGTCTCTAAAAAATAGCTGGGTGTTGTGGTGGGTGCCTGTAATCCCCGCTACTTGGGAGGCTGAGACAAGAAGATTACTTGAATCCAAGAGTATGAGGTTTCTATGAGCTATGATGCCACAATACTCTACTGAGGGTGACAATGTGAGCCTCTGTCTCAAAAAAAAAAAAAAGTCACCTTTGTGGTAGTCTTCTCCAAAACGGATAAACTTGGTGTAACCATGAGTTATCAGACAGACCCAAATTGAGGGACCTTTTACAAAATACCCATCCAGTACTCTTTGATTTTTAATTTTTATTTTTTTGTTGAGACAGAGTCCCATTCTATCATCTGAGCAGAGGTACAATGGCATCATAGCTCTCTGCAACCTCGGACTTGGGCTGTGGGCATTCCACTGCCTCAGCTTCCAGAAGCTGCTGGGATTACAGGTGCTTGCTGCAGTGCCCAGCTGGGTTTTTCATTTCTTTATGAGTTGGGATTTCACTCTTGCTCAGGCAAGTCTTGAACTCCTGAGCTCGAGTAATTCTCCCTCAGTCCACCACAGTGCTGGGATTACAGGCATGAGCCACTGCACCTGGCCCAGTACTCTTTAAAAATGTCATGGTTATAAGAGACAAAGACACTGAGAAGCTGCCAAAGATTGGAGGAGACTCAAGACAGGAAATTAAATGTAATGTAGCGTCCTAGACTGAGTCCTGAGCAAATTAAGGACATCAGTGAAAATCAGGTGAAATCCAGAGTCTGTAGTTGAGTTAACAGCATTTTACTGATGTTAACGGCTTAGTTTTGATAACCGTACCATAAGATGTACTGTACCATAAGATGTACTGTACCATAAGATGATAACTGTACATAAGATGTAACATTAGTGAAAGTTCAGTAAATGGTATATTGGGAACTTCATGTACTATTTCTGAAATCCTTTTGAAAATCTGAATTATTTCAAAGCAAAAAGTTTTTAACCTGGGTTGGGTGGGAGTCTTGGTGTGTGACACATCTTTTGGGGGCAAAACACAAGTGTAAGAGGGACTTAACCTAACAAATGCATCAGTGTAAGCTGGTTTCTTGTACTGTCAATTAATCCCCAACAATAAAAAAAAAGTTTTTAAACTATTCTGATACTGTAAGTCTGGTAAAAGCCCTAAATTCTGCCCAACAAGTTCCTAGGAGAGGCTGATGCTGCTGGTCCATATGCCCTACTCCAAGTGGTGACAGTTTAAACCAGTGGTTCCCAAACTTAACTTTGCATTGGAGTAAACTGGATAGTTTTTAAAAACAGATTGTTGGTCTTACTCCCAAAGTTTCTGATTCAGTGCGTCTAGGGTAACACTCAAGAATTTGCATTTCTTTCTTTTTTTTTTTTTTTTGAGAGAGTCTCATTTTGCTGCCCTTGGTAGAGAGCCTTGGCATCATAGCTCATAGCAATCTCAAACAATCCTTTTGCCTCAGCCTTCAGAGTAGCTAGGACTATAGGTACCTGCCTCGATGCCTGGCTGGTTTTTCTATTTGTAATAGAGACAGGGTCTTGCTCTTGGTCAGGCTGGTCTTGAACTCCTGAGCTCAAGCAATCCACCCACTTCAGCTACCCACAGTGGTAGATTTTGAAGGGTCAGCCACCACACCCAGCCAAGAATGAGCATTTCTAACAGCTTCCTGGGTGATGATCACGTTGCTGATGCTGCTAACAAGCTAAGAATGGTTTTTACATTTTTCAAAGTTGTAAAAAAAATTTTAAAAAATAGGAATATGCAACAGAGACTATCTGTGGCCTTTGAAACCTAAAATATTTACAGAAAATAGTTGCTTGCTACTCAGAATGAAGCTTTTAAAAGATAGTAGTGGCTAAACCTACCACTCAGAGATTCTTAATTGCTTTGGCATGAGTTCTCACATCAATTATTTGTATAAATGCTCCTCTTTAACTGTGATGTGTATTGAGAATTACTGTTTAGACTATCTGCTTCCTTCAGAAAGAAAAAAAAAAAAACTGTTCCTCAGCCATCCTGGAGAGTTAGGGATGAGCCCAAACAAATGTCCAGGTGCATTTTTGCAACTTAAAACTTATTCCAAAAAGTTGAGCTACACTTCTGTGATTTTATCAAAACCTAAACATAAATTGGTATTTCTTACTTTCATCTGTCCCCTCCCAAGTGAATATAAATGAGCACTGGATTATACAACAACAGTCTCAAAGAACCACAAACAAAGAGACCTGAGTGTAACTGTGGATGATGTTCTGAAAGAGAATGGCTAGCTCTGACATAGATGGACCAGAGGAGAGACCAAGATGAGATCTTCCCTGTGGGATGGCTGACAGGTAATGGGGCCAGGATGCCAGAGAGCTAAGGGAGGGGGGAAGAAGGGGGGCTGAGGAATCCCCATGCTGTTGAGGTGCCTGAAGAAATACCACAAAATACTTTTATCTTCATCAGGACCCCAACATTCTTTGGTTTGTTGTTTGAGCATAATTAGGGTGAGGAGTCCCTCTAGTGTCTGGAGACGCCTTCATACTCTCACCCTTTGCCTATCCCTCCTTTGCCAACAAGTAGGCTTAGCTGGGGCTGCTCTCCTTGTCAAGGGTCTGAAAGCCTTGTCTAAACCCCTCCTGAGAAAGACCTATTTGTCCTCATACCTGTGCTCTCTTCAGCCTGGTTGAAGCCACAGATCTGACAGATGCTCTGGACCCACTTGTTCATGTCCTCTTCTGTCTCAGCCACCAGGTAAAAGGTGCGCTCACTGGTCTTGATGTCAAACACGAAACTATCCTGCAGCTCCTTTTTGTTAAAGGTCAGGCCTGCATCCACCTGCTCACAGAAGTTCAGGTTGATGATCCGCAGGGGCTTCTTGGAGTGATCATTCTTGTAGTATTCCAAAACATCTGGGTCTCCACTCATCCGGCCACTCCGCAGGATAAACCAGCGCTTCTTCCAAGCCTAAAATGCACCAAGAGGTGGTAAGGTGAAAGAAAAGAAGTCATTAGTTATTTCAAAACTTTTAATAGATCTTCAGATATCAGAGGTTAAGGAAGAGGACAGTTGGACCTACAGGCTGCATATGGCCTGTCTTCCTTTCAGATTTCCCCAGAGTTTTCCCCACTTGGGCATTCCAATTGCTCATGTCTTTAAGTTCCAAGCATCTTTTTCTTTTTTAAAAGTTTTGAATTAATATAAGTGAATATACATACAATTAGGTTACAATATTTGCATCTTGAGGCTAGGGTCCTGTGTGGCCAACAAATACTTGGCAAGTACTTACTGAAAATGATTTTCTTTTCATTCAATGAATATGTTAATTTATTTAAACTAATAAATGCAATTTTAAAAGGTAAGTGTGAGCCTTCACAGTAGGAAGCAGAAAAGGAGGACAGCAAGAGGATTATAGAAAAAAATGAATAAGATAAAAATATGCAATGGATTCTTTATGATGGGACTTCTTTACCATCTTGTTCCCTTCATTCTGATAAATGCAGTGACCATACAATAAATATTTATAAGGTGGCCTGAGAGCTTCAGCTGAAAGGTATCCCATGATGCGGAAATGAAAAATTACTATTGGATTACTGACACATAACTGCAAGAAGAATATGGGTATGTGAGTCCTGAATATGATAACAAAGAGAAGGCTTTTCCAGAACTATTCTCATACACAATCGCATACCAAAATTAACTCAAAATGGAATTATACAGGTCAAGCATGGTAGCTCACACCTGTAATCCTAGCACTCTGGGAGGCTGAGGCAGAAAGATTGCTTGAGGTCAGGCATACATGTTTGAGGTTGCAGCAAGCTATGATGATGCCACAGCACTCTACCCAGGGTGACAGGGAGACAAAAAAGAAAAAAAAAAAAGAGAGCGAGAGAGAGAGAATTATAGACCTTTTTAAAGAGAGGTCTTGTGCTGATGTCTAGACTGGAACACAGTGACCATAGCTCGCTATAATGTCAAACATGAGTAGTTGAGACTGTAAGGGCACACTGCCATGTGCTCTTATGTTTCTAAATTAGTTTTTGTAGAGATGGGGTCTAATGTTGCTCAGGCTGGTTTTCAACTCCTGACCTCAAGCAACCCTCCCACCTTGGCCACCCAAAGTGCTGGGATTACTGACATGAGTCACCACACCTGGTCTGAAATCACAGCTTTAAATGTAAAATACAAAGAGAAGTCAGCAACCTATATAAACATGTGACCAAATGGGGTTTATTCCAAGGAATAAGGCTGATTCAATATTTAAAATCGATGTAATCTACTATATTAATAGACTAAAGAAGAAAAAAAATCACATGGTTATGTCATTCAATAAGAGAAACAATTGGCAAAGTTCAACATTCATTATAAAAACTCAGAAAAACAGAAATAGAGAACTTCTTCAATTTAAGAACATCAACAAAAGACCCATATCCAAAGTTATACTTAGTTTTGAAATAATGCATGCTCTCCCATTAAGATCAGGAGTAAGAGTAAGGTAAGGAAATCTATTCTTATTGTTCTTATTCAACATATTGCTGGAAGTTCTAGTCAGAGAAACAAAGCAAGAAACATATATAAAAGGCATATAGATTAGAAAGGAAAAAAATAACCTGTCCCCTTATTTGCAGATGACATGATTATCTTTATACAAAATCCCAAGGAACGGGGAAAAAACTCCTGGAACTAATAAGTGAGTCTACCAGGGTCACAGGATACAAGATGAATGCACAAAAATCAGTTTACTTCTACATACTAGAAATGAACATGTGGAAACAGAAAATAAAAGTACAATGCCATTTATAATCACTTTTATTTTATTTATTTATTTATTTTTTAGAGACAGAGTTTCACTTTGTCGCCCTTGGTAGAGTGCCGTAGAGTCTACAGCTCATAGCAACCTCCAGCTCTTGGGCTCAGGCGATTCTCTTGCCTCAGCCTCCTGAGTAGCTAGGACTACAGGAGCCTGCCACAACTCCTGGCTATATTTTCTTTTTTGTTGCAGTTTGGTCGGGGCTGGGTTTGAACATGCCACCCTTGTTGTATGGGATGGGTGCCTTACTTACTGAGCCACAGGCATTGCCTGATAATCACTTTTAAAGACTGAAGAGGTATATAAGTCTAAGAAAACATACAGAAAAAGAGATATCTATGGCTAAATACTCTCTGATCAGACAGCCGTTGGATACATGCTGAAAACTACACAATGCTGATGCAAGAAATCAAAGAACAATGTTCATGGATTGAAAAATGCAACACAGCATATCTCTCCAAACGGATACATAGATTTAGTATAATTCCCATCATCCCAGCAAGAATTTTTGTAGATGTAGATAAGAATGTTCTACAATATATATGGAAAGGCAAAGGAAGCACAATAGCATACTTGAATTTGAGAAAGAATAAAACAGGAGAAATCAGACTACCAAATATCAAGACTTACTGCATGGCTATTGTAATTAAGATTGTATGGTAATGGATGCTCACACCAATGGAATAGATGGATTTCTTGCCTTTTGGCTAAGATCAATTGTAGAACAATGGAACAGATGAGAAAACCCAGAAATAGACTCACACATGTGCCCAACTGACTTTTAACAAAAGTGTAAAAACAATTCAATGGAAAAAGACATCCTTTTCAATAAATGGTACTGAAGCCATGGGGGATGGAAGACCTCAACCTAAGTCTCACAATTTATACAAAAACTAACTCAAAATGAATCATGAACTTTAATGTGAAATACTACTGTTAAGGCATTTAGGAAAAAAGTTGGAAATCTTTGGGATCTAGATTTGGGTACTTCTCAAGACAAATCAATAAGCTTCTTCTATAATATTCAGTAAAAATAAGCTGAGTGCTTTGAGGGATAAAGAAGAGAGGCCAGACTCAAATACTTCTTTTAAAGTAACTTACAATAGTTATACTATTGAAAGAAGACAAGGCATTAATACATATGCCTAAAATGAGCAGATTTTTATACCATAAAAGAGATAACAGACTACGAAGCAGGGAATCAAACTATTGGTGGTGATGTGAAAAATAAATATGAACAATGAGGAACGTATGGTTTGATAAATGATTTTGGAAAGGAAGGAGAAAAGGACTTTTTTTGTAGCACAGTATGACTAAGGCCTGGCCATAAGAAAAGGTAAGAACAGGTTCAAAGAATGTGGAATTGTCTCTGTTAAATGTGAAAAAGAAGGAAGAAAGGAGAGTTTGGAGGACCTGGAAAACCTTGAATGCCACCCTAAGAAGTTTCATCTTTCTTTTAGTGGTAATGGGGAGCCACTGAAGAGTACATATCAGCAGAGAAATGTTAGCTGGTACTGTGCTCTTATATGGTAGAGTGAGGAAGATGAATCAGAGAAAAACTATTTAATAGGAAGCTGTTGCAATAGTCTGTAATAGTGAGAAGAGATGGCAATCTAAATTAAGATAATAATAAAGAAGACAAAGAGGAAAAGACAATGTAAGTCACTTTACTTACTTAGAGAAGCATATGGCATAAGGCCTACTATCAAGAAAGCTGCAACAAAGTTAGAATTTGTGTCTAGGAGCAAGGGTATGCCACCATCTTCTATGATGAAATACAAGTGACTGTTTTCCTTTTGTACCCAAATCCAGTCAGAAAACAAACCATTTCACAATCAGCCAGACCACAGACAAAAAGTGGGTACATATGACCCAGAAGTTGCATCACTGCTAGCTACTGAGCAGGGAGTACATGTCACATGAACTCTCTGTCCTGTAGGTCAGATCTCCAAGTCTTCAAGCATGTAGAGCAAGGACATGACTTCCTCTCACTGCTTTTGGCCCTAGAAAACTTAGGTGGGCCCCGACTTAGCTTTGCAATGGCCAGAATGTCATGTCCCATTGTGGCTGTGATGAGACTAGACGTTCATCATGTCAGGATTCAGCGAGATTCTGTCTGTGGAGTCATGATTGTAGTATTCAGATACAGTGAAGGGCAATTTGATTTATTTTGGGTGGCTCAACATAACAAAGTTGAGTGAGTGCCAGCAGGGGCATGGTAAGGGAAAGCAGACTATAGAGGGGCTCAGAGAGTGGACCAGATAGACAAGACACGAAGGTCTTTTCCAACCTTGAGAGATTATTATGTATTTTTAACCAAGAAGACATGATAGATGTGGTAGCACCTCACTTAATCATATTAGTCAGATTCTTGGAACAGAGGGATGAGTTCTTCTGAATAACCAAGTATTAACTAGAACCCCCTTGAAAGTTGAAAATAATTCTAAAACTCCAGAATCTTCTGCTCTGCCTTAGGTAACATACCAAAGATAACAGAGCTCTTCTTTCATGACTAAGGACTTCTGAGAGTCTCCAGTCATCTTTCCTCATATCAAATCTCACATGTCTTGTGACTAGTGGAAGGGGTAAGACGTTTCTTGGAAGAAGGTTTTGCATAACTCTTAGAAATGGGTGTGTCCTTTTAACTTCCTTTTTTCTGATTAGGGTAAAGTCAAAAACTGACAATAAACCAGGAGACCTCTGTCAAGTGAGGATTATAGTAGATCTGAGTCTAACTGAAGGTACTGGATGATATCAATGAATTGAATCTATTAGTCAGTCAGGTGTAATAAGAGTGGTGGCTCATGCCGGTAATCCTAGCACTTTGGGAGGCTGAGGTGGGTGGATTGCTTGAGCTCAGAACTTTGAGACTAGCCTGAGAAAGAGTGAGACCCTGTTTCTACTAAAAATAGAAAAACTAAGGCAAGAGGATTGCTTGAGCACAAGAGTTGGAGGTTGCTGGGAGCTATGACACCACGGCACTCTACCCAGAGTGACACAGCTTGAGACTCTCTCTCAAAAAAAACAAACCAAAAACTGTGCTTTACCACACTCTCTCTCTATCTCTCTCTCTTCTCTTAGAGAAGTCCCAGGTGGTGATGTAGTTTGAGTTCCAGCTTAAACAATCACAGAGACAACAGGAGATGGCATCTAA